AAATATTAAAGAAAAAGCAACAAACATGGAGGGCATAATATAAATATTAGATTTAGTTGCATTATAAGAAAAATTAAATTTCAAAATGGTGACCCATACATCGGAAAAATAAATGTATTCTACTGAATGGTTTCCATTTACCTATAATTCTTTAGACACTAATATACTATATACATTGTTGGATTACCTATGTTTTCTTATTTCCTCTCCTTAATGTATTATGGGAAAGAGGAGTAGGAGTCTTCACTAATTGTATTATGAGTACTTTCACAATCTAAAAATGCCGCAAATTTTTTGGTATTAAATGTTATGAAAATTATACATTAAATGATATCCAATCTCATAACTACATTACATGATCACCTCTGAATACAAAACCCATAATGTGTAGTTTAGCCTTCTTCAATCTAGTGCCTTTCAGATATTTTGGGGTATCTTCTTTCAAAACAGAATAAATTATTGAGAGCAAGGAATTCACACATATTTACATTTCTGACCTTCACATTTTCTGGTTTTTATGTTTCAGTCTCTATGTTATTGCTTTAATATTCCTTCCTCCTCCTATTTTCCCCACCACAATGAACCTGTGGGTTGAGAGAGCATGACTGGTCCAAACTCACAGAATTGACTTTTCATGGCTAAAGAAGGACTTGAACTCACAGTCTCCTGCTTTCTTGCCTGGGGCCTTAACCACTAGACCAAACTGGCTCTTTATGTAGTCTACTTCTTCCTGCATTTTTTGGATTCACATAGCTAAGCAACAAACTAGCTAGGCTAATCAGGCATTATTAATTAAGAAAAGATGCTTCTAAGTACATGCTTGCTTCAGTGTTTCAGATTTTTCTCTGATCTAATTATGTTGATTTTTTTAAAAAAAGTATATTAAATATATATTATATTAATCCTAATGAAAAATTTAATAATATTGAAGTCTACTTGAGATAAAATACCACTCAACATCTATAATATGGCAACTAATCTTCCCACAGATATTGATAGCTACTGAATATTTCTTCTTTTAGTTATGATTTAATGGTGTATACTAAAGTTTTGTTTCTTTGTTCATTCTGTTTCAGGTAAAAGTTACATGGCCAATGAACAATTCAACTTCTCTGAATCATTTTAATTTGGTTTCAGTTTATGCTACTGTGCTTCTAAACAAGACTGTTTTATTTTTAGGGACAGGAAATGGGCAGCTATTGAAGGTAGGTTATGCCATAAATCATTATGATTTCAATAGTTCATACATCAGGTTATGTATAATTGCAGAAAACAGTGTTCATATTTGAATCAATTTTTTTCAATAGGTTTTTAATAAAAAAATTAATAGTATTAATATAAATAATCAGTATACTTAGTTTTTAAGAACTCACAAATAATCTGCACATACAATTTATCTTTTTTTTAGTGAAGTAAAACAGGTTGGTGCATGCATTTGCACATTTGCACTATTTGCACATTTCGAGCTTTCATTTTCTATAAATTAAATAGAAAAGATTTTGAAGGAAGACAGATTTTATATTGTTCACTATAACTTTGCATTTGAAAAAAATCTTTTTTAAAAATACATTGTTTGCTATGGTACATTTGATTTAATAATATATTCATTTGATTTAAACGTGGTATTTTGAACAAGGCATAGAACTTACATATGCTACAGTTTACAAATTGGCAAGGCTGGGCTCATACATTAAGCCACTATAAGTTACATAATGATTTTGTACAATGTTGGAAGATAGTATATGTTTTTACTATAACAACAGCATCTATAACTGTTTACACTCTTTTCAGCCTTAAATTTTATCTATCTATCTATCTATCTGTCTGTCTGTCTGTCTGTCTCTATCTATCTATCTATCTATCTATCTATCTATCTATCTATCTATCTATCTATCTATCTATATATCTATCATCTTTTTATTAAATAATTTTACAAGATAAAAATCAGCCTTAATCTTTTTCCTCAACAGTTATTTAAGACCACACGGGAAAAGAAGTTGTGATGAGGAATAGGTGGCAAAAGAGTACAGGACAACTCTATTCCAAACTGTTTGCAAGCTTATGTTCATTAAATATATCCTGTTTTTATAGATTGTCCTTGATGACAAAATGAAGCCAAATTGTCCAGAAATTTTATATGAAATTAAGGAAGAAACACCCATTTTCCATAGGCTTGAACTTGACCCTACGGATCAGAATTACATCTATCTACCATCTAATAATATGGTTGGTTGAATTCTAAATTACACTCTAGAATTCCATTTATATGCTGTTTTCAAAGTTGTATATAAAACTTCATTTAGCCAAGTATTGAAGGCCAGCAAAGCAATTGCAAATATTCAAATTTTTTTCTAGTGAAGTTTTATGATAAAAGGATACTGGAAAGCCCATGGAAAAAGTTTAGAGAATTATGAAAAATTACTACACACTGGATCTTTTTTGTGGTGTAGGGGGAGGACTTTGGAAGATTCTTACATCATCAGGTCCTAAGAGTCACCTCATCCTAGTAATTTAATATTGGAAATATTGCCCCTTTTCACATTCTGCAGTGTTCACATTCTTTCACTTTACTCCCCATTTCACTGCCTTTATTTATCTTATTCCACATTGTGATTGGTCCAGGACATCAACATTATCAGTCTTTTTTTGTGTAAGATGACTTAGCATTATTCCAACTCTTCATTGATATGGAGTAAATACTGTACACTAGAAGGTCAAAGGCTCAATTGCAATAGCACTTAGACTTACCACTGCTTTACAGTGCTTTACAGCCCTCTTTAAGCCGTTTACAGCTTATTGCCCCCAACAATTTGTGTCCTCATTTACCCACTTTGGAAGGATGGAACATTGAGTCAACCTTGAGCCTGGTGAGATTCGAAATGCTAATAATGATTTCATAGGATTAATACAGACCATCTGAGTTTAACAAAAATTATTATGAGCAACCACAATTACAATTTTTCCACATTAAAACCTAAAAAAGTTGATATCTGAAAAAATACATTTTTCTAAGTCTATAAAATACTTAAGAGCAATAATTAATCCAATCTTCCTAGAAATAGGAAAATGGACTCAGAGGTTGGCCAGAAGTATATTTCAAAATGAATTTTAGCAGTAGTTTCCTAGGTGAATTTGCCTGTAGTTAGATATCTACAAAATAATTAAATACAACATTAAAACATTAATATAGCAACTCACTACATTTCAATTTCAGTTCACAAATAAAATATAGAGCCTCTGCAATGAAAATGGCTCATAAGATTTAAAACAATAATTAAAAGTTATACTAATTTGAAGCTACAGTGTGGGTGTGTGTATGTTTAATGATATACTGTACATGTGTGCGTTTTAACAAGGCAAAGACTATAAATATCGAATGGTAATTAAAAAAAAATAAAAGTAGTAAATAGTAAGAAAAGAAAATAGAAAAAAATAAAAGTTATAAGACAGAGTCTTCCTAACAATGGTTATAAATGCATTTATTTTACCCTCTATTTCTAAAGTTACATCAAAGTGTTCTTGTTTCCATAATTTACTTTTTCCAATCATTAACGTCATAGATCATTTTTTTCTTTCTATAGCAAAAAGTCCATAAGGAGTTTCCAGCTACTAATAAATGTAGATGTTAATCTTTCTTTAATCAAACCAGTCAATTTTGCCATTTCTACTACTTTTGTCTTCTTCACCAAACATTCCGTCATTGTGTTTGAACAGGGATGTCAAACTCAATTTCATTGAGAGTCATATCAGGGCTATGGTTGACCTCGGGAGCCAGCCAGGCATGGCTGACTGGGTGGGCATGGCCATCTTGCTGTCACTCACTGGCTGTGGCTGACTGGGTGGGCATGACTGACTAGGTGGCTGTGGCCATTTTAACCCCACTCCCCAAACTGCTGGCATGTTTCCTCTGTGCACTGGGTAGACCGGGCCAAAGCCACGCTGACTGAATGTGATCAAAATTCAGCCACTTATAACCACAGGGACACTCCAACTCCTTCCCTCCTATCATCTTTCACCCTCTTGGCCACCCTGCACAGCATCACAAACCTCGGCAGCAATGGCAGTCCTGAGGCTGAAGTAGAGACCTGAAACTTTGGTAGTCTCAGCCAGCTGCCATTGCCCCAAGCCTCTGCCATTGCTTCCGTTGCTTTTCCCGTAAAGGCCCTGATGTGCCTAGCTGTCTTTGCCATCTTTCTCTTGCAGCTAGCTATGCCAAGCCTTCTTTTCGAGGCCAGTCAGACTGTTCTCCAAATCACTCGAGGCATTGTGCAAATAGTGGTTCCCTTTCTCTCAATGCTTCAGAAACCCTTTGGAAGTTCTTCCAAACTATCACAAGAACAAGGTGCCTGCTGTTCTCCAACTAGGGCTCCCATTCTCATGAGACTTGTGGAAATTGGCTTCACATGGTCAGCAGTTACCTTGCATGCTAGATGATAGTAATTTCTCCTATTTCAGTACATCCTTCTTAATTCCAGGCTTTTACATAATTGTTCTGCAATAAAATACAATTCATGCTAGTCATAGTAATACATACGTATTTCAAGAAAAATATTAAAACCGGTTATTTCCAACCGTTCCCTTTGTTTTTCCATTTTCAAATTCTTTGTAAGCATCTTCATCTTTTGCTTGCTAATTTTAAAAGTAGCTATTATCCCCAAACTGTTTATATTTTTATTAATATTTCTATTAAGGATCTTCTAAATTATCACCATATCATTAGAAAACACCTATAATTTATATGTTTCTCTTTTAATCCTAGAATTCATTCCAGAATCAACCCAGAATCAATATAAACTAGCAGCCAGAGACTTGTTATTTGTCAGCCAGCTTTTGCCAGCCAGGATAAGTTCAAATCAAGTTCACAAATAGTTATTTGTAAAAGACTGAAAAAGTGAGAAATTGGTATCAACATACCCAAAAAACACACCTTATTCTAGTAACCTAATGAGGCATATTTGTTTGACTACCTCCCTATATTTTTAAGAGTTATAACTTTTAAAATAGTTATTATTTTTTTGTGTATCTCAAACTCATAAAAATATTATTTGTTTTGCTTGGAATGGCTGATAAAGAATTTGCAAAAAATACTTTTTATTTTTTTTAGATTAGGAGAATACAGGTTGCAAATTGCAACAAATATATTTCCTGCAGAGATTGTTTATCTGCAATGGACCCACACTGTGGATGGTGCCACACAAAGAAAAGGTAATTATCCTTGTATTAATATTGTAAAACAACATAATTAATATTTCATGGAGAGTCTGAATGCCTGTTCAAAATTATGTGTGTTTTAAAAGAAAGAAAAAGGAAGGAAGGAAGAAAAAAGAAAGAAAGAAGAAAGAAAGATTATTTTATTTATTTTATTTATTTGTTTGTCATACATATACAAGATAACAAGTATAAGATGAACATAAACAAGAACAAAGGGAGTAAATACAGATAAATGGGGACAGTAAGACAGGGATGGTAGGCGTGCTGGTGAGCTTATGCACGCCCCCTTTAAGGATCTCTTAGGAATGGGTGAGGTGCATTGTAGACAGTTTGAGATTGAAGCTGTGAGGGGTTGAGGCTGTAACAATGGAGTCGGATAGGGCATTCCAGGCGCTGAACATTCTGTTGCTGAAGATGTATTTTCTGCAATTGAGTTAGGAGCAGTTTACCTTGAGTTTGTATCGGTTGTTTGCCCGTGTATTATTGTGATTGAGGCTGAATAAGTTGTTGACAGGTAAGACATTGTAACAGACAATTTTGTGTACTATGCTTAGATCGGACCTCAGGCAGCGCAGTTCTAGATTGTCCAGGTCCAAAATTTCAATCCTGGAGGCATAGGGAATTCTATTGTGAGTGGACAGTGGAGTACTTTTCTCGAGAAATATCTCTGAACCTGTTCAATTGTGTTAATATCTGATATACAGTGTGGATTCCAGGTAGACCAGCTGTATTTGAGAATTGGTCTGGCAAAGGTTTTGTATGCCCTAGTTAACAATTCAATGTTGCCAGAGAAGAAGCTTCACAAAAGCTATTTTTGTGCTTCATAGGGATTTTTACTAAGGCAGGGATTCTCAGACTTTCCAATTATGTGACTCCTAAAAATTATAAATGAATTTCTGCCAAAATATATTTCAGTATTTATTGCACATTGACTTTCTTTTTAGATGGACCAGTCTATGGACATTCTTTAGAACTTATGTTCAGGAAAAAAATAAAGGCATGTCTTTGCTCCAAAGAATATTGTATTCCATAACAGTGTTCAAACAAAGCAAGATCTTTGCTTAAGATCTTTTTAAGTGCCCGAATGAGAGAAATCTGAAGTTGTATTTAAGGTTCGCTTAGTTTTTTCAAAGCAAAATAAATAATGCTGTTCATCCCAGAGATAGCTTGCATGCCAGCTTTAAAAAGAAAATGATGCTGTTTTCCCAGAACATAGGGATTACCAGTCCCTGCTAGCAATTGTGAGTGCTATAGGCTCCCAAAATTTCAAATTTAGGACTTTCCAGATATGAACTTCAAGCCATTACATTGAGCCCTGGTTTTAGCTGTTTTGTAAAATGATTTTTAGAATCATAGAAATCCAAACAATACCAATATGCAACAATAAGCAAATGCAGCAGAGTGTGATAATCTGATTAGGCTAATCTGTTTTTTAGGAATGCTTACATTGCTTGCAGAAACAGTACAGTAACTTTTTTTTTACAAAAATAGCTGAATCGAAATGGGGTAGAACCCCCAAACCATATTTGATGTAAAACACATCCTTTTAACCTGTTATGAACTGAGGAAAAAAATTAAAATGACTAGTGAAAAACAGTGTGAATTGCTATATAGAGTCAAAACATCTTTTAGTATTTCCATAACAAATACACTTGTATTTTCTTCAGCTGCACTTTAAAAGGAAAATGTCCATTTTCTAGTAACTCACCTAACTGGGTAAATATTTCATATGGCATAGATAAGTGCCTGAAAATCTACACTTCTCAACTCAAAAATAATAAGGTATGTAATTCATAATTCTCTATTCATAGATTAAAATGAGTAATAGTAATAAAATGGTTAGCAATGGTGATTTTGAGACTGTGATGATAATGCATTATTGTAGTGTTCCGGCCATATGAATAAAAATATTGCCCATTTTCTCTGTTTTTACCAATGAAACCTGTTGCAGGGTTGTGCAATTGTAAGATCAGTGGCCCTCAGTAATTTTTATAATCTCCTCTCATTGTGCCAATAAAAGTACAATAATGGATCAGATCTCTATATAGTCATGATTATAATACTTTGCCTTTGGATCCAATCCAGTAAATTAAACACAAGTACATAAAAATGGAAATAATGGTAATACGGAATTGTATATTTAATTAATATTTTTGCTGCTGTTGGAGAACAGTACATCCTTGTTCTGTAGAAAGTAACCCGTGCCATAGAGATTTCCTACCAGTTGTACTTATCATACCAATACTATTTGTATTTTATGACTTTTAAATTTCTAAATATCCATCTGTATTAAAAGGATATACAAAATAGATTAACCAGTGTAGCTAACTTGGCACTCTCTAAATCTATGATCATCATAGGGATGTACTTTAATTTTCAAGTAATTTTTTTCTACATTTTAAACAAAAGAAGCCATGCATCTATACTGTATAATGCTAAATCATTATTAAAACTGGGAACAGAAGGAAGGAAATCTGTATAGATGCTGTTTCATAGTTGATTATTTGGATTTAATCATTAAAGTTGCACAGATTTCATCAGATTTCTACTTCCTCGCTCACTGTCAGGATAAAATTGGCAATTTTATAATTAGCACTGAATAAATTTATTGTTTTCAATGTTTTTATTCTTTTAGGTTCATGTGAGAGTAGATGTAAATTCTTTTGGTCTTTCTGAAGCACATTCCCATTGTAAGATGTTAAATGCAAGGACCAATGAAATTCTTTGTAATGTGAATCAACACCATCTAAATTGTTCCTGTAATATAACATTTAAAGATCCATCAGAGAAAGGTGAGTTTCTTTATATTTCAGCTTTGTAAGTTGATATTTCTATATCTTGTAATATCTTTTCTCCAGTTATACATACAAATTACTCTTAAAGATTGAACTCAGTGCAAAGGGAGGTTATATTACAATATTATTTAATATTTATATTGCATATTCATCATAATCCCATTTAGATTCAGCTATATCATAAAGCATTACTTAATGTAACAATGAATTCAGTTAAGTTATTAAAAATGCTCCTCTGGTTGATGTGTGAAAAACCTGTGTGAAAAAAAAACACTCCACATTCCAGCCTTAAATCATGGAAGTGAGGCCAGCTTAAGAAAGCCCTTTCCAGATTCCACTTTCTTCTACTTTGGCCATGGTGATGGCCTGATATATGGTTATATTATGTTTACCATATTTGATGGATTCCACTACTTCTTTACCCCTCCTATGCCTGACAGGAAAACAAGCAACAGTGACACAGGGCGGCTTTCAAGGACACATGGCTTTCAGTAACAATTCTTTTGTATAAGCTTCCTTATAGTTGACAAGGGAGTGAAGAAGAGAAGACAGGAATAAAATGACAGAAGGAGCACAATTACCATTTTGCCTTGGACTAGAAGGCAAAAATGTAATATCGTGTCCATTTTACCTAATTTGAAAAAGAGAGAAAGAAAAAAAGACCCACCATTTCACTGTTCCAATGTTCTATCATGTAACTTAAAAAAAAAAAAAGCTAGCATTTTATTTCTCTACGAATGAACATGTAAAATAAGTTGTTGGCCATGAAGGGTTGTAACCAGCTATAGGATGGGAGTGGACATTCCTGCAACAGGGAATCACAGCTGGAGTAGAGTGGGCTACCTGCAATGAAATGAAGCGCAGAAGACAACATAGACAGCATTGCTAGTATGAATGTAATTTTTTTAAAAAAAAATCCCTATACAGAGCAACAAAAAACAGCTGGAGGTTGCCTTTCTGGATGGCTAGAGATAAATACAAAGAATGAGACAACTTACCACAGCCAACTCACTGCTGCCAATTCACGATGTCCAGCTCACCATGGGACAACTCATTGAAGCCAATTCACCATGGGAAAACTCACTACTGGACATTCAACAATTTTATTTAATTATTTTAAATAATTAAAACATTATTTTAATTTTTGCCATTCACCTTTCATTTTGTCCTTCCTTTTACATCATTTCTTTGATGATTCTATTTCACATTTTTTTTGATATTATATAACCTTTGTCCGATGGCAAATTGTCCCATGGCAAGTTGGCTGTGGCCCGTGATGAATTGTCATGTGGCAAGTTGGTCATGGCAAGTTGTCCTAGACCTGATGTCAACACGTTTTCCTGCCCTTAAGAGTGCCCAGTGGCTCATATTCACATGGGGTGGGGGGGGGGAAGCTGATTCTTCAACTCAATCCTCGATCACACTACATAGATGGTTAAAATAAATTGAATCATAATCCTGGTTGGCAACGATAATCTTTTTAGTTAGTTCCAGTTCTAGCATTCTGACCTTGGCCATTATGCCACAGAATATGGACTTTTCCACCCAGCCTAATTTTTTTAAATTAGGAATCATAGTTAAACTTTCATGGATTGTCCACTAGTTTACTTCTTGCTAGTTTACTTCTTGCAGCTAGTATCAACCATATACCCTTCTTTAAAAAATACACCCATTAGAATCTAAATTATATGTCAGCTAATATAAACATGAATCAGATTACAAACATGTGTTTCTGGCAGAGGTTCATTTCTTTAAGTGTTTCCTGAAAGATAGAAAATCAATATTTGAGCCACTTTAAGACATTGGGCCTTCCCCCACTTGCATCTAACCACACCATAACTTGCATCTAACCACCCCTGGCAACATTATTATTGTCTGATACTGACCTAATCCCTTGATATTATCTGAGGCAGCTTTCAAGTATCTTTAACTCTTCTGGTTTTAAAGTGGGTTTTTCTTCTTACCACAACATATTTGTTGCAGTGGATATAAACTGACAAGTTTTGCCAATCATCCTGGCAGGGGTGTATTAAAGTGATCCCAAGAGAAAGAGAAAGGTTTGACTTGACTTCTCTTAACCACTTTAGAAGGGTTAAGATATTTTAGGTTGATGTGGGCTCTGCCACTCTCCTCTGGTTCCTGGGTATTGTCCTCCAGGGCCATTCTGATTTGGGCAGCAAGACTGAAAGAGTTCAGATCTTTCAGTCTAATCTCTAGCCTTCTACTACTTGCAGATCTCTGAGCTGATTCATATTTTAAATTAGCTAATCAAAAGAAACCAGCTGTCTACACACTACAGAGCAGGGGTATCAAACTCACATGACACATTGTCATTACCTGATGTATCTCAACTATTTTCCCCTTCATTAAACCAGGGGTGGGCATGAGTTTGAAACCCCTGCTATAGAGGGAGAGAGACTCATCTGCACTATGAAATCTTCCTAAAGAGCCTGTCTCCTCTTAATCAGGCTACTTTTAAGCATAGGATTAGCACTCTACTACTACTAAACCCATGGTAGACTGACAGGCATTCAGGGAAATGGTGTTTCAGCATGGTGTTATAGTTTAGTGAGACTGAATCTCCCACTGCACTGTACATGTCCTACCCCATATCAATATTATCAAGGCTACTTTTAAACCTGTGTTTAATGCTGTGTTTTATCTGTGTCTATCTGTGTTTTAAAAGAAGTTGACTTACAGTTGGGGAGGGGGAAAGAGGCTAGCTGTGCAGCAGGATGGAAGGAAATTCTCAATCTGAGAAAAGTGGAAGGGGTGAGGCAGTTGAAAGAAATGATAGGTGCAGCAGGAGATTGAATGTTGAAACTCATCACTTTATCCTTATCCAATGTTATGCAATGGATACTTTTCTGTCAGCTGTTGACGTTTTGTGGGGAAAAGAGGGAAATAATTCTGGGGAAATCCACCAGTCCCTTTCTTTAATATAATAATAACACGTAAGATGCATAAGAAAGGTCAGCTGTACTTCTAATTTCTCTTTAAGTGTTGAATAACATTTCCAAAAAACAAAGTTGTTAATCCACAAGCAAATCAACCTTCTCATATGCTGTGGAAAATCTGCAGTCCATTTGAATGGCCATTTTATTGTTGGGCTGCTTTGTATTATTCATTGCTATAATTATAGTTTTACTTATGCATTATTTATAAGAGCTTTCTAGCAGAACTAATACACATTTCTTTATGAAACATATTCAACATTCAGCCATACTATGCAGTAGTATTTTTCAATCACTTGCTTTCCTGCATGCATTTTTATTGAAGCAAAATGGACATACATATTTTGTAACTGCCTTCTAAGATCAGTGCAATTATAAGTACATTCATATCCATTAATAAATAATGTCAGCTATAATACTTTCTTTCAAAATTGTGGGGGCATAAATCTATTAGCTTTTAAAATGTATGGGCAAAAACGAATTGCATAATTCTTTTTCTCAATGCTCTTCTACAACCTCAGCTAGATACCAACACTGCATTAACATTGACTGGCAAAGATATTGGGAAATACATAGTAACTCATTTCCTGTGCATATTTTGCCTCATTTTGACTTTCTTTTTCAAAGAGGTTATGAGAAAGGAAGAAAGTATCGAGTTTGGATGTAAAGTTGAATGATGCTATACCACTATATTTTAAGGGTGAAAACATTGCTCATTTGTTTCACCAACAACATAACAATTGTCGATAAATACAAAAAAGCTGGATAGTGGACATGGCAAGAGCTGGAGACAGCAGAGTGGAAGAAAAAGAACTGGGGGTGGAGGAGGGGGTTGTCACAAAATACAACGACCTGCAAATAAAAACAAAATGATTATGACCCAATAATGATGAAAGTCTTCTAATTCCAAGTATTTTATAAATTGATAGCAATTTTCAACCTGCAAAAGAGAGCCAATTTGGTCTAGTGCAGGCATGTCCAATTTGTCATTCACAGGCTGCATGTGGCCCTAGACAGCTAGTAATGGGGCCTAACAAGATTGTAAACTTTTAACATTATTATGTGAGTTTATATATATTAACTATATTATATATTTATATGGTGCAGACAGTTTCTCAATGCAGCCTGTGAAAGCCAAAAGGTTGGATGCTCCTGATGTAGCGGTTAAGGCACCAAGCTGGAAAACAAGAGATTGTGAATTCAAGTCCTGCCTTAGCCATGAAAGCCAGCTGGGTGACTTTCCAGTCACTCTCTCTCTCAGCCCAACTTACTTCACAGAGTTGTTGTGGGGTAAATAGGACATGGAAAGTGTGTTGGATATGTTTGCCACCTTGAATTATTTGTAATGGGGCTCAACACAAGAAAAATTATTACATTATGGGAATGCTTTAGATCTGTAGTGGAGATATTACACTGATTTTGTAAATACGCTGTATGGAAACAGAAATCATGCTGGAAAAAATGACTGTATAAGATCAGTGGTTCAACCAAGAACAATTATCACTTTCCTGAGATAAATAGCATAAACAGAAGAGATGTCCTAGAGATAGAACTCAGGAGACTTTGCTTCTCCAGAAAGTGTTTTCTTGTAATTTAAGTATATTAGAAGTGAGACAATATTTTTCTAGAATTTCCTAGAAGATACTATTTCAATATATTTGGAGGATGATTGTGGTCTTGGGTATCTGGAGAAATTATAGTAATTATTATGGCCTTATTCTTCATGCACACCTCTAGAAATATGTATATGTACTGAGTTTCAACAACTTTACTTAAAAGAAAAGGGTACCTCTTTGGCAGACAAATTTTGAACCTTTGTTACAGAGAGATGTGGTTGGGTAGATATTGCATGGGAATAGAAGATGTGGTTGATAAAACTGAAAGAAATGAAAGATCCATTTTGCCTTCACATAACCACACCCTGTGAATGCAAGTTTAAGGAAGTTGCTTTAAATATTCAGCATTCTGCAAAAATAAAATCTGATCTGCTGAATACAATCTTGTGGTGATACAGTTAGAGCAATTTTAATTAATATTAATCAAATCTTTTTAGTAAAGGAAGTTGTAGAAGACTGAAAACAAATCTATTAGCTTCAGCATGTATAGCAGATGTAAAAGAATTGCAGATATATGCATAATTAGTTGCTCTGTAAATCCATTTGCAGTTTCTTTCTTCTATATATTCTTTATATAAGTATATGTATACTACTTGTACTGTATTCAAATAGAGACTTCTAAGTCGATGTTCCTATTGGTTAGTTAATGCAACGAAACAATTGGTTAATAACATCAGTATCGGATTGGCTGCCTAAAACGGCAGGAAGTTTAAATAAATGCCATTGGTTGCGAGCCGCGAGCAGCCGCTATAAAAAGGGCTGCCGCGGCTCGACTGCAGTTGAAGTTACTGGTTGCTATTAAAGAGCTGAATTCAACTCCGGTCTTCTAGTCTATTTTACTGGCGACAGAACACTACTTACTAGGAAAAGTCATAAAACCTCCTGGCTCCCATAGAGTTCTATTAGATTACTATTTCTCAACCTTTTGAAGATGTATGGACTTCAAATCCCAGAATTCCCCATCCAGTATTCTGGAACTGAAGTCCACACATCTTCAAGCTGCTAAAATTGAGAAAACTATTTTAGATCTTCCACCCATAATCCTCCCACAACTCTTTGGGACAGTTATTCCAGAAAAAAAAATACTCTCAGCTAATTTCAATTCATATGCAGAAAATGGCAAGCCTCTTATCTTCCCTAAATAGCTGAAATATACTAGAAATAACTTGTCAAGATGAAAGCCCTGATTGCATAAGAAATGCAGATCCTTTAGCTTAAGAAACTAAAATTTTAAAGGAAACAGAATGACTGAAAATTGGGTCTTAAGTGGCATTCAGTCAGCCCTGGGAAAGAACTCCAGCTAGAACAAAATACAAGATGGAGTTCTGCTACTCTGTTTCAAAAAAGCACCCCAATAGGGGGATTTTCCTGCTCCTCGGAGTTTGATTTTTCCAGGCCCTGATAGTCTTTGGTCATTATCTACATGGACAAGTTAGATTTAATTGATGGATTAAATTTCAGTTTTTCTTTAACTCTTTCATATCTGAACCTTTGGGATAGGATTTCTTCCCACTCATTTAACGTAAGCAGTCTTAAAAGTTTTGCTCATAGAAGCAAGTTCATAGTCCCAGAAATTATATTAATGGTATTGCAAAGATAATGGATGCGGAAATGGGTGAGATCCATATACCCTATGCAATTGTACCATAACTTGAGCTTCTGTGCAAAGTAATCTAACTGTAATATTCAAGAAACATAGAACATCATTTTATTGAGACTGTTAATTCAATGTGACATATAAAACAATATGAGGTGCGATCTATTTAGAGGTTTGTTGTTGAAGACATTTCATATTTTTTTTAGTACTGTATATCACTTGTTGTAAGCCTTTCAGGCATCCAGTCCTGACTGAAAAATAGGCTGTAAATAATATAGAGTACAAAAGCAACCACAATATAAAGGAAACCTATAGCTCTATATTTAAATCAGTTGTTTTTAAGTTATTCATTATACACAGATTTGCAGTTAATAATACAAGTGTTTTTTTCTCATTTTTCAGTTCAAGTGTCATTCATCTCAGGAACTTGGAATTTATCAGAAATATTTGAATTTGACATCTGTTCTTTATCAAAAACGTAAGATTTGTTTACCAAATTTGTTTTGTATGGATTTATAATATTCCACTTATCATTTAAGAATTAGAAATGTAAACAGTTCTTAAATGTAAAACAAAGTATAGTCAAGCTTGTTACTGATAAATATCATATGATATCATCAATATCAAATATTTAATATTTATGACATGTAAATATCATAAATAGGACCTAGCCACTAGCCATTGTTCACACTTTTGCTGATTCTCTCTTTGCTAATTGCTACATATTCTGTTTTTTAATATATATATATATATATATATATATATATATAAATAGGTGCTCAAAATGTGATCATCCGCACTGCACCTGGAATGCTAGAGAAGAAAAATGTGTTACCTCTTCTATGACTTGTGCCAAAAAAGTAAGATGTTTTGATTTTATAGAATTATAAAAATCATTTAATGAAATTTGTTCCCTTAAGTGATTTTTTTTAAATTGATTTGTTTTTATTGATTTATTTTTCAGATTGATTGTAGTAGAACTATCAATGCATTAAACAAAAAAGATCATTCAGCAACATCAAAGGTCAGCAAAAAAAATTGAAACTGATATATTAGAACTTAAAGGAAAATATGTATTTTATATCTTACACTGGAGATGGACTTCTTTGTTAAGATTACCCAGAAACCCAGTTAAGCATGGCCAATGGAAAATAATCCTGAGAATTATCAACGACATCTGGAAAGTTACACGTTCTCTATCCCTTAACTTCTTGGCATGGATCTGTCTTTGGAGATAGGCAGACTCTCTCCTTACTGACCGCTTAATGTGGCTGTTTTATGAGAAGTAAACTACTAATACATATTTATATATTTTGAAGCTGGCTTTGTACATTTACCAGATGTAACAGAATAAGGACACAACCTGGTTTGCATATAAACTAACTTAATTCTCTCACCTCTGTGCAGACCTTGATTTCAGTGAAAAAGGGTAACTTTAAAAAATTTATATTCTCTATCTATCTATCTAGTTTTGTTATCTATCTTTTGAATATATCTGCTATAATTAATACTCCTCATCCAGCTGGCTGTATTGGCTAAGCAGGGACTTGAACTCATGGCATCTTGCTTTCTAATTTGATCCTTAACCACTAGACCAAATTAGCTGCCAAACCATTAATATCAAAAGAATGTTAAAGGTATTTATAAATGCACAATTCTGTTACTTTAAAAAAATTGTCTGGATATGTTAACATACATTTATTTTGTTTCCAACAGCCTATTAAAATTATTTCCATTGAACCAAACTACATGTCAACATTAGGTAAACCTGAAGTGCTAGTCATAGGAGAAAACTTTACAAAATCAAATTTTTTGATGGAGATAACTGGAACCAGCAGCTGCCAACAAGATGTGTGAGTCAAAATAACAGCATATTGATTTATCTTAAAACCATCTGCACTGGTGATTGTACTATATAATCAGATAGTGTCTACCTAAGAAACATAGATTTACAGCTCTTATACATGGAAATTGAAACTGTTCTTTTGTCATGTTAACTCCCAAAGTGGAATTTTGCTAGTAATTAGGAAGTACAATCCATTAGTGTATCTCTTTCTCATTCTCTGTGAAATATTGGACTGAATTTGTCTGAAACACACATATGAAGACATAAAGATATGAGCAAAATTAATTGTAAATATAGGGTAAATGAAATATAGAGTTAAATATGGATGGCATCAGACTCCTAGTAGTTATTCATATTTTCCATAGTCATCCTTAGAATTTACTGTATACCTCATCCACATTTTCAGTATGAAAAAGAGACAAGATATAAGAATGACCAAAGAAACTGTATATTCTGGGATTATTTGTTCAACAGTAAAGGGGGAAATGTTGATTGCCAAGAGTATCTCCTGAAGGTTGCTGATTGCTCACTGTAGGTGATTTATTGAGTAATACCTCCTGAGTAAGCAGAGACTGTACAAGGAATAGCAATCCTTTCCAAGGAGAAATACACTGAGGAAGTAAACAAGGATAGTTTATGAGAAATTGCCAATAAAAAAGAAACAAAGAAAGGACAAAAGTCTCTGGAGAAGCTAATTCTCTGAGGGACTGTTTATTCAGCTGTGAAAAGTAACAAGACAATATCCGAAAGAGTTACTGATTACAAGCAATGCATACTGAGAGCTGATAGTTGTCCATTATACTGTAGTTGATTAGATGGCCTGTTCCTGCTAAGCAAGCAATGACAGGAGGTAGTTAGATTCCAAGAAGCACTCTGAGTTAAGCAACAAAGAGAGCAAACATTAGTGTGCTGATGGAGTTTACAAATCTATTATATCTTCATTCTAAGTGAACAGTATTTAGATAAGAGAATAAAATTTTATCAGATCAAGCAAAGGAAATGCTAGCTGAAAGAGGAAGCAACTCTCCATAAGAAAGATAATAATAGAAAGAAGTGAATGGGAGTGTCAACAAGAATTAAGAACTGTAGACAATATTTTATACTAAGAAACAGTCTTGAGGCCCATGGAGGTGAAGGGGAGGTTCTAAGCCTTTAAGGAAAAGATAGAAGATAATGCAGAAGAGGTGAAAGAGTTTTAAAAAGAGTTCAGGCAGAAGGAATATTCAGTGAGAGTAATGATGCATTAAAAAGGGACACTATTTTCTTTTTCCTTAGGGGATATGTTACTAAAGTGATAAATGACACACACATGAAATTCTGTTTACCACCAAGTCGTAAAGAAGTCAAGAGCGCATGCATAAAGGAAAACGGATTTGAATGTTCTGCCTCTCTTCCACTATATTACGTCTCTTTTCCATCATGCGCTAAAATCCTTCCAAATACTACTTGGATGAGGTAATATTTAATTTGTACTATCATAAAAGATTACACCACCTGAAAGTTATAGTCTAATCTAAGCATTGTTATTGAAAGTAGATCATTTTAGTTTATAGACCTTTGTCACTCTCCCTTTACAACTTTCCTTTAATACAGATAATCAGAGTTGGAAGGGACCTTGTAGGTCATCTAGTCCAACCTCCCGCCCAAGCGGGAGACCAGGTTATTATTCCTCTACCATACCAAAGGAGCAAGTAGGTGAAAATACTAGAATGAACTTTTCTGTACCACTAACATTGCTACAGAAACCTCTCTTCCTCACCACTTTTTTTCCTCATAAACAGGAAACATTTTTATGTTTCTTTTAGCAGATTCTTTCAGTGTAAAACTACAAGTTACTAGAACACTTTGGTAGCATAGCAAATTCACATAACTCTGATATATATATGAAAAACAATTATGTAATCAAATCCTAACATAATCTAAGGAGAAAGTAACCTAAGAAATGCATTTTGAGCCTTTTATATTTTGTGGTATCTTATGCATATTTTAATAATACATTTTAAATGCTTCTTTCTGTAATGCACTGAATACATATATATTTAAATTCACTTTTTGGAAACATAATTATATATGGCAGGAATTGTGTTACAAGCTCAATTTTATTGTGTAGATACTTCCAATGTTGACAATATCTAAGGCCATAGCTAGCAATTTGCCTGAAACAGCCTGCCTTATGCAGTGCCATAAGAGAAGATAATTGAATAGCAATAGCAATTAGACTTATATACCACCTCACAGTGCTTTTACAGCCCTCTCTAAGCAGTTTACAGAGTCAGCATATTGCCCCCAACAATCTGGGTCCTCATTTTAGCCGACCTTGGAAGGATGGAAGGCTGAGTCAACCTTGAGCCTGGTGAAACCAAACTGCCAAACTGCTGGCAGCCAGTGATCAGTAGAAGTAGCCTGCAGTACTACATTCTAACCACTGCACCACTGTGGCTCTTAATCAGAAATGAAATCAGAAATGTGTAGATTGCCTGATTATTTGAAATTAAAATTTGAAATTCTGAGTTAATGTACTTTGTGTTCAACTCTGAAAATTCGATTGTGTGATTTTTTTTATTTTTTTATTAAGAAATTTCTGTTTTAACATTATTTTTTTATTGTTTTCCCCCCTCCCCCAGTGGAGGTCGCAAGATGACTATACATGGGAAATATCTGAATATCACAGATGAAGTTATTTTAAGTGATTTCTCACAAACCATAATGGTAGGTACTGTATATGCTGTCTTTTCTCCAAGTGTCCCTGCCTTTAAATGAATTAAAATGAATATTGTGCCCAAATGTATTGATAGTGCTTGTAAAGAATTTAGATTTATAAGTCCACTCACTCAACATATGAGTCTGCATGTTGAACAATTAAAATTAATAATAAAAATATGAACAGAAAACAGGAAAAAAAATCATACCAGAGGCAACATGGATATTAATATCCACAATCCTCTAAAAAATAGGTTCTCTAACTATCCTACCCAATGTCTGAGAAAAAGCCAGTCTTATAGAAGGCCAATAGATCAGAGCCATTCAAATTTCCAGGATTTATGCTTTCCACAAGGCAAACAAGGTAGATCTCATCAGATGACATTATTTGATTGAGGGGACCTATCATATGCTCACTCTGTGGGATGGGCGGAAATAATTGGATAAAGATGGTTCCCTCATGTAACCCAGATTGTTATGAGAGGTTTTATAGATGATAACATGAACTTTGAATTACACCAGGAAACCTACTGGGAGTCAATATAGCTTGGACAGTAGTGGGTACACAGATGTGACCATGTAGTTCTTAAGGAAGTCACATGTTGCACAGCAGTAATGTTGCAGTAATCCAAAAAGGTGTTTATCGGACACAAATGTTTGAGCTCGACTTCCCAATCCAGGCAATTTTCAGATGATATTGTGCAAGAGCCCTCCTAGCCATGCATACCACATACCTTTTGAACAGGATCCAATAATCTTGGACTATCTCCAAGTTGTACACTAGTTCTAATTTGGGCTGTGCAATATTCTGGTGGGACAGAAGTTCCCTGAGGATGGGAACTCCACCCTCCAGCACAAGGGTGAAAGCTCAGAAGATTAAAACTCTGGTCCTAGTGACCAACCCAGATTGGATCCTGCAATATTCTCCTGTATTATATTTGCCTTCATTTGTGAGTGCAACCCCATTCAGAACCAATGTGAAAAATTACCAGCTTGGGAATCCTAAAGCCCACAGTTAGTCACTCCTGCTAGAATGGAACCTAAGCCTATTTATTCCCCGTCCAAATTTCTACAGCCTTCAGACACTGAGAAAGAAATTTGAGAGCATCCTTCATTGGTTGATGTTGAGAGGTGCAGTTGAGTTATCATCAACATATTGATAAAAACACTCAGCTATACCTCTCAACCCCTGGCTGACTAAGCATAATGATGATACCTGACCTTGTGCCATTGGATAACTACAGATCAGTGGCTCCCTAAAAATGTAAAATAGGAGTGGAGAGAAACAGTGGGATCCTGTAAAACAGAGCTTATCAACACCAACTGGAACCAATTCTGGAGAAAGGAAACTCTTATGCCCTGAGCCAGTCCAGAATGATGCTATGGACAATATTACCTGAAGCTGGTGAGAAATCAAGGAAACATCTAGATTTCTTTACTCTGACATTAATACTGTATTTAAAGCCAGAGTCTGTATGATAAAATTTGGAAAGAGCAGTTTCAGGCTGTTTCAGAGTGCTGCCAAGCTGCTGGTAACCTATATTTGCATGTAAATAGGTAAAGAGTAAAATGTATTTATCTAATGTGTCTAAATGAAAGTTTAATTGAGTGTATAAACTCTAACAATAACAATACTATTTAAACAAATTTATTAAGATCTATAAATAAAAATAAAAATGCAAAAAATTAAATAAAATATATTTAAAAAAAATAAAAATACAAGCCACAAAAAAGAAAAATAAACAAACAGAAGAAGTAACTTTGTCCTTCATCAGTGGATTGGAATAACTTAACCGTTTCTCTGGCTGGGTAGGCATGGCTGGTTGGTCATGTGACTGGGTGGGTGACATCACACCCAGCCCCGCCTCCTGACCAGTCATCTTAAAGACCGGTAGTATTCAGCCGGCTGGCTCCACCCCACCCATTTTTCAGCCAGTATTTTGGTCAGATTTTTGGGCTGTTTTCAGGCCATTTTGGGGGCCAAAAAACAACCTGGAAAATGGCCTGAAAATGACTGAAAAATGGCCCAAATGGCCTGGAAAATGCCTTAAAACAGGCAGAAAAACAGCCAACAACAGACCGAAAAACAAAAAAAACAGGCCATTTGGGGGGCATTTTGGGGCTGTTTTCAGGCCATTTTTCAGGCTGAAAATGTCCCGGAAAACATCCTGGAAAATGCCCTGAAAATGTCTGAAAAATGGTCCAGAGAACAGCCTGGAAAACAGGCCGAAAAACAAGCGGGGACAGAGCCAGCCAATTGTACGATTTGCCCGTTTGCCAAACTGCACAGAATCTTAACCACCGGTTCACCTGAACTGGTGCGAACTGATAGCAGCCCACCTCTGCTCTTCATTCCAGCAAGTAAAAACAATTTTAATAGCTTATCACCATTTCTAAATACAACATCATCTGATTAATGGTTTTGTATTAAAGATCAAATTTGGATATGTATGTATTTGTGAATAATTTAAAACTGTTATGACTCAGTCTAAAAGTTAATTAGGTTGCTAAGGGTTTTTTTTAATATATGTGAATAAACTTATGAATATATATTGTATATAAGCAATATCAAATCTCATTGAATTAAGTGATGTTTAAACATTTGAACTGTGCATAGATCTGCAGCATTTAGCAATAGTGTATGTGTGTGTGTGTGTGTGTATATATATATATATATATATATATTTATATTGCTATAATTTATAATTTTCTCAATACTGCTTTTTTTTTAGCAATTTACTTGCCATAAAAATAGTTTTGAATGCAATTTTACAACCCCAGCTATTAAGATGGAGAAAGGACCTAAGATTATTAACGTTATTCTTAAAGTTGAAAATATTAATATATCTTGCGGTGACTTTCAATATTATCCTGATCCTAAATTTATTCATTATGAACTAATAACTGATTTGGAACCTGACCTGGAATTGAAAATACATGTAAGTTGTGAGCTTTTAAGTTCTTTGATTAAACCTTCTCTTTTAAACAATTTTCATTGTTTTAATTTTACTGCATGATTCATTCTATTTTTTCATTTTTCTAGAAAAAAAAAGACAACTTAAGTCTTTCTAGACATGAACTTGAAGTTTTCATATCTGATAATAATCTGATCAACATAACATTCAACATCCAAAATATTTCCAAAACAGCCACTCGTAGCATAATACACTGTAGAGCTAAACAGGAAAAAAACATTACCAGGAAGATTAATAAGTCAAGCATGAAAGTTTATGTGAGTAAATGTTGACTATATATTTTTTTAGTTTGTTAAGTTTGTATTATTAAATTTTATTCTTACAAATACTACTCTGAGTTTGTAAATCATATCATATTATACTTCAAAATTAGATTTTTCCATATGCTAAATTTTTATGTCTCCTTTCTGAAAACAGTCCTTGACATTATGTACATATAGATAGAATTACACAGCTTTCAATGTGAGTAATGCTTGAATCTAAGCATTTTAGAATCTAAGCATTCATCTAATCTAAAACTCTAAACTGTGCATAGTCAAATCGAAAACAGAAAAGTACTTTGGATCTGATGTGGATGCATGTGCTGTATTTGTCAGCTGCACCTTAGAGAATCTGGAACTCTTCCTGGTTCATCTGAAATATGCACGTTGGCCAGTATGGTCCATGGAAAATACACATTTAGGATTTATGATTTTCAGGGGCTATGCAGCACTGTGGAAGATAAGAAAGATGTGTGACCTGTTTTATGTTCTGCTGACAGATACAGCAAGTGCTTACATTGATTCCAAGGCATTTTTCCTGTTTTGGATTAAATCCTGCACATCTCTAAAATGAAATTATACCTTCTGTTTTTCTCTCAGCGTTGCAGTGTCAATGCAATTTCTCAAACTGGGAAGTGTCTCTAGCATTTTTTTTAATTTGAGTTTTTTGCCACTTGAGAATAATATTTCAGATGCTGCATGAATGCACATTTCACATAGTAATAAATTAATCTTATAGGAGCAGGATTCCATGAGCAAGCAGTTGGAAGCTTTTGCTTCGTTTTTTTACTTAGAACATATTTTTTACATATTCCATACCAATGGAAATAAATTTCAGATCCTTTGTAACTTCAGTGTTGGAAAGTGTTGATTTATTTCTGTCTCAGTTATGGAGTATATGCTGCAGAAAGCTAGGATTATTTATTTATTTTTATTTATTTGATTTGTCAATCGCTTACAAGATAATAGGTATAAGTATAAACATGAGTAAGAATACAGGAAATAGGTATGAATAAATGGGGACAATAGGACAGGGACGGTAGGCATGATGGTGCACTTATGCACGCCCCTTACAGACCTTTTAGGAAATGGGGTGAGGTCAATAGTGGATAGTTTGAGGTTAAAGGAGTGGGGGTTAGAGGATGTAACAACAGAGTCAGGTAGTGCATTCCAGGCATTGACCACTCTGTTGCTGAAGTCGTACTTTCTGCAATTGAGTTTGAAGCGGTTTACATTGAGTTTGTATCTGTTGTGCGCTCTTGTATTGTTGTGGTTGAAGCTGAAGTAGTCATTGACTGGTAGGACATTGTAGCAGATAATTTTGTGTGCTATGCTTAAGTCTAATCGTAGGCAGCGTAGTTCAAGGTTGTCCAAGTCCCAAATCTCAAGCCTGTTGCGAGCAGAGGAGTGTAGTACTCTTCTTGTGAAATACTTCTGGACTCGCTCGATTGTATTAATGTCTGATATGTAGTGCGGATCCCAGACTGATGAACTGTATTCGAGTATTGGTCTGGCAAAAGTTTAGCAATTCGATATTTCCAGAGGAGAAGCTTTGTAAGATTAGATTTACAACTCTTAATGCCTTTTTGGCAATGCTGTTACACTGAGCTCTGGTGCTTAGGTCATTTGATATGAGAACTCCAAGGTCCTTGACAGAGTGAGGATCATCAACAAGGTCATATCCGCCTAGTTTGTATTTGGTGTACTGATTTTTTTTACCAATATGTAGGGACAGAGCATTTATGGGTCAATATTTGGAGTTGCCAGATTTTTGACCATTCTAACACGTAATCAAGGCTGCTTTGAAGGATAGTAGCATTGTCGGTGGTGTTGAATAGTTTTACGTCATCTGCAAAGAGGACACAGTTGCTTATAAGGTGATCACAAAGGTCATTTATATAGAGTATAAAGAGTGTGGGTCCTAGAACACTGCCTTGGGGGACACCACTGTTAACTGGAGCAGGGTTTGATATAGCACTCCCTATTTTTACTATTTGTTGCCTGTTTGACAGGAATGCAGTAATCCACTTATGGAGGGATCCGGAAATGTCATAAGAGTTTAGTTTTAACAGTAGTTTGTCATGGACCACTGAATCAAAAACTTTGCAGAAGTCTATGTAAATTGCATCTATAGTGTTGTAGAGCGATGGTAAGGAAGAGGCATGAGACCAGAGCGTATAACTAACAAGGCTTTATTGCGGGGAATAAAGGGTTGTCGCGTCTGCTTGCTAACTTGCAGACTAGCGGGCGACAACGGGCTGGCTCTGCCCGACAGCCGGCTTATATAGCCGACTGTCAAACGGAGCCAACCAATGGGAGCGGCTGGTGCTCCCGCTCAAACAGCGGACCTGGTTGGGAACCCCCACCAGTTCCACGGACATAACACTCCTTTCCCCCAACTGGGAACACGCATAGTCCTGCAGGTAAGCCGGCTGTCTCCGCTGGCGACCAGAGCGTCATAGTTCGGGTGGACTGTTGGCTAGTGACAAGTCCAGGCCTTCGGAACGAGCCTCGACGGTTGTCGGGGCATGGGCTTGCCCAGGCGCGGTGTCTTGCGACGCCAGCGAGTCCTCTTGCTCGGGCTGACCCGAGCGAGTCTCGTGGTCCGGTTGGCAAACTGGAATGCTCGGCTGCTGAGTCGGTGACCCTGGCCGGGAACTCGGGCTCTCCAGTAGACCTTCCTGTTCACCGGGGAAAACCGGGTCCCACAGGGAGCTTCCATCTGGCACCGGCAGGGAGACGTTGGCGCTGGCAGGCCGGGTTGGATTGGTATCAGTCGCACGCCGCCTTCTGAGTTGGTCCACGTGCCTTCGCCACAGGCGTCCATCTTCCAGGAGGACCCTGTAGGACCTTGGACCTGTGACTGACACGATTTGACCTGGCACCCACAAAGGATCCCCTGCATAGTTCCTGGCGTACACCAGGTCTTGCAAGGCAAAGTCTCTAACCAGGCTGTCAGACCCTAAGGGGGTGTCCGGGCAGTAATGGGGGTGTAGCCTGTCCAGGGTGGTTCTAAGGCGTCTCCCCATTAACAGTTCAGCGGGAGATTTGTTAGTGGTGGTGCAGGGCGTCGTGTGTTGGCTAAGCAGGAAACGAGACAGTTTAGAGTGCCAGTCTACCTGGCCAAACCTGGCGAGCACTTCCTTGGCTGACCTTACCGCTCTCTCTGCCATCCCGTTGCTAGCGGGGTGAAAGGGAGCTGTAAGGACATGTCTGATGCCCAAATTAGCCACGTACATACTGAACTCACATGACGTGAACTGCGGGCCATTGTCGGACACCAGCGTGTCTGGAAGTCCATGGGTGACAAACAAACGTGTCAGGGCTTTGACAACTGCTTGGGTGGTGGTCGTGGGAAGCAAGGCCACGTCAATCCACTTGGAGTAGGAATCCACGACCACCAAGAAAGTCTTGCCATGCACTGGTCCAGCCAGGTCGATGTGCAGGCGAGACCAAGGGGCACTAGCACTTTCCCACCTGGTGGGCGTGGTGGCAGGCGGGGCAGCCCTGGTTTCTTGGCAGGGTTGGCAAGAGCTTACCCAGTCGGCGATTTGAGCATCCATGCCGGGCCACCAAACGTAGCTGCGGGCCAACGCCTTCATCCTTACGATGCCCGGATGGCCCTCGTGAAGCACCTTCAGGATGGGTACTCGAAGGGTGGTTGGGATGACTACTCTTGTGCCCCACAATAGACATCCCTGTAGCCTCAACAGTTCCTGCTGGCGGGTTTTAAAGGGAACAAAGTCAAATGTACATTGAGTTTCCGGCCACCCCCTTCCCACCCAGTCCAGAACCTGGGCGATTATTCTATCTTTTTTGGAGTGTGCCGCGATGTCTTCGGCTGTCACTGGAAGTTTGAGTTCGTTGACCTCAAAGATGGCGTGAATTGGTGCAGGGTCCTCGACTGGGACTGGCAGGGGGCAGCGACTAAGGGCATCGGCATGACTCAAGTTCTTGCCAGGACGATGCACCAACTTGAATGAGTAGGCGGCCAGAAACAAAGTCCATCTGGTCATTCTGGGTGAAAGTACCTGTGGGGTTTGCTTGTCTCCAGATAAAAGTCCTAGGAGAGGTTTATGGTCAGTCACAAGTTCAAAATGGTGGCCAAACAAGAATTTGTGGAACTTCTTAACTGCAGCCACCGCAGCCAGGGCCTCTTTATCGATTTGGCTGTAGTTCCTCTCTGCCGAGGAAAAAGTCCTAGAAAAGAAGGCAATTGGTGCCTCGGAACCGTTGGGGAGTCTGTGGCTTAGGACAGCCCCAATCCCGAAAGGGGATGCGTCAGCAGCCAGGACCAGAGGAAGGCGTTGATCGAACTGGACTAAAACCGCTTCCGATGTGAGTAATGATTTAACTGATCTGAAAGCGTGGGCTTCCTTGGGTCCCCAATGCCAGGGTGAGTCTTTATCTAAGAGTCTATGTAGGGGTTCAGCGACTGATGCTTTGTGCAGGAGGAATGAGGCGTAAAAGTTTAGAAGCCCCAGAAAGGCTTGTAGTTCGGTCTTGTTGGTTGGTGTGGGTGCCTCGTGGATGGCCTTCACCTTGGATTCGATTGGGTGGATGCTGGAGGCGTCTATCCTATAACCCAGAAAGTCCACCTGCCTAGTGGCGATGGCGCACTTCTCCCTTTTAAGTTTGAGGCCATGCTGCCTAAACTTCTCTAGCACTGTCCTGACCCTCTGAATGAGTTGAGGTTGGCTTGTGGCTGAGACTAAGATGTCATCGAAATACGGAACAACTCCTGGGAGACCTTGGAGGATCCGTTCCATGAGTGACTGGAAAATACCCGGGGCCACACTGACCCCGAATTGGAGGCGCTTACATTTGATTGAGTGACTATGGTTTGTAATTCAGCTGTCTGATCATCAACAGGGAACTGTTGGTATGCCTGGGACATATCTAACTTGGCGAAAATGGTACCGGGTTCGAATGTGTGTAAGAGGTGCTGAATAACCGGGACGGGGTATGCGCTGACCTGTAAGTAACGGTTGAGCGTG